TGCGGGCTGTTGCTAGCAAGGTCTGCTGTGGGAGCCTTTTGGAAGCGCTCGCCGGGGCTTTGGTCGCAGGTCTGCAGCTCCGGAGGCGCTTGCTCAGCCTTCTTGAGTTTGTGTACATCGAACAACGAGGGCGCGGGGAAAGCGATGCCTTTGCTATCAGTTCAGGATTGGGGTCCGAGCTTCTAACCTGTGCCGCTCTCCTCTGCTTGTGCGAAGTGGACCTCCGATCCGCAGGAGCCCCTTTGCTGGTATGTGCTGATGCTTCGCTTGCAAAAGAAGCAGCTGTTGCGAGCAAGATCCCAGCTGTGACCTCTGTCGAGTTGTGCCGCCATGGACTTCAGAAAGGGCTTTGGAATAGGCTTTTGGGTTCGGTTGCCGCATACCTTAAGGAGAGGGGTGACAGTGAGGAGACGATTGATGAGATGCCAGGGGAAAGCTACGAGCAGCATCCGCTGTCGGAGCCCCTGGTGTCTTTCCTTTCCTTCGAGCCTTTGGGGCCGACTGTCAGCCCGAGCCGGAGGCGTCACATCAATGTCGGAGAACTTCGAGCAGCTCTCAGGGCTGAGCGAGCTGTCGGAGCCAAGCACCCCGACTCGAGGTACATGCATCTGCTTGATTCTCAGGTTGCCGTAGCTTGCTTGGTCAAGGGCAGGTCTGGGAGCAGGGCTTTGAACCGCGAGATGCGACGGTCTTTGAGCGAGCACCTTAAGAATGTCACCCCCCGTTACGGGTACCTTAGGTCGAAGTATAATCCTGCCGATGATCCCACACGTGATGTCGAGATTCGCAAGCCTGCCGAGCCCGAGGCTGAATGGTGGGCTTCTGCTTCCGAAGGGGATTTTCGGGCTTTGTTGGACCTTTGGCTTGAGAGTGTCGGTATGCATCTTGACCAGCTGCGTGAGCTCCCTTCCGAGCTCGAACTTGCGCCCGATGCTCCACTGCCTTTGCGAGCACCTGATCCTGGACGCAGAGGCCGTGTAAGCAAAAGCCCCGAGGACTTTGCCAAACATCTACTTGAGCGAGCATCTGTTTCAGCTTGTGACCTCGTCTTGCTGTTTGATCGACTGCCTAGGGAGATCAGCGCTCGGTCTTTTGTCGAGCCGCGGCGGGGCTACACCTTTAGTGCGGGGGCCTTTGTTCACGGGGGTGTTGTAGGAGTGCAAAAAGCCACTTATGCCTTCCCAGCTTCTGTGAAAGCATTCTGCGCTTACTTAGCCCGCCTGTGCCCGAAACATGTTTTCAGCTCGTTCATTGTCCTTTCGAACGTGCGTTCGATGCTGCATCGGGATGCTCACAACTTGAAAGACGAGGTCAACTGCATCGTGCCTCTTACACGGTTCAAGGGGGGCGGTTTGTGGATCGAGTGCAGCGGGGGAGAGCATGAGATGCGACATGGAGGGTGTAAGCTCCGTGGCGAGGTCATTGACGTCTCCAAAGGCCCCATCTACTTTGATCCGTACCGCCGGCACGCCACGATGGCTTGGACTGGGCGCAGGTGCATCTTGGTCGGGTACACCATCCGAAGTGTCGAAAAGCTTTCTGAGGAGCAGATAAGCTCCCTGCGGGAAGCGGGATTCCGCTTACCAGCGTGCGGCGAGCCCTCGCCGTCTGACTGCGAAGCTTCTGTGAAGAGTGCGACCGGTTTTACTCCTATCGCTGAGCCTTCCGAGGAGCTTGAGCTGCGCCGGCGATATGACCTGCCGACAGCTCCTTCTTTTGATAACTTTGCTCGGGTACGAGCACACTTTCCTTCAGCCTCCGGCTCCCTACGGGTCGAGCCCCGCGTGCATGACTCCAGCTCCCCTTGGGTTGAGCCGTTGAGTCACTCCAACCTGCACATTGCAAGTCGACGCTCCACCGCGTCCCGGGTTGGAATTTCCCCGGAGTCGATTGAGCTCTCTTCCGAAGCCATTGATTGGACTTCTCATGAGCTTGCCTCCGCATCGATTTGTTTACTCCTCCGCCTTCCCTGACCTCCCCTCTGCTCTCCGTTCTGGACCAGGCTGGCTTGACCTTTTTTCAGGGAGTAGAGGGTTGGCCAACGATGTGCAGCACAGCCGGGATGAGGATTTGTTGGACCGACGAGTCCAGCAGGAGCTTCTGCAGCTGTTTGACATCGGAGCCTTTAGAGGCTTCAGTGCGAGCCCTGCTAGTGCTAGCTTCTCCGCTGCCCGCTGTTCCTGCTCTGAGGTCGCGCGAGCATCCTGAGGGCAAGCCTGGATTGACTGTTTTTCAGAGCGACAAAGTTCGACGCGACAATGCTGTTCTGGAATTCCTGCTGAACTTGATTCGGTGCGCCGAAATCAAGGGTTTGCTCTACTTCGTTGAAAACCCTTTGAACAGTTGGATTTGGAAACAGCAAGCTTGGGCTTTCTGGGAACGGGGAACCTCTTGGGACTTCCTGTTCGACTTCTGCGTTTTCGGCACTCCGTGGAAGAGACCGAGCCGAGTGCGGAGTAACAGTCAGCTTCAGGGCAAGAGACTCCTCTGCTCGCGAGACCACCAGCATCAGAGACTACGAGGACGCGAACCCCTTTCGGGATGCAACTGGACGAAGCGGTCGGAGCCCTACCCTAACAAGCTCTGTGTTTTGTTGGCTCAGGCAATTTGTCAGGACGCTAAGTGGATTCCAGGACATCGGCCTCTGGATATCGTTCGGTGTGCCAAGTGCTCTGGAGCTCGGTTTGGGGAAGCAAAGACACCTGGGCCTCGGAGGAGGCGCGCTCGACCGCCTCTGCTCCTTTCCGAGGTCCCGCTCGTTGAGCCTTCGACGGCTGCCCTTCAGAACGCTGTCTGGGGAGCTTTTCTGACTTGGATTGCATCTGGAGCCGAACCTGCAGCTGCGCAAACTGTTATTTCTGTTCCCGAAATCCTGGTCGAAATGTTGTGCTCTGATGGGCAGGTGCTCTACAGTCAGGGGAACCCACTTCAGTATAGACAGGTGCTAGCCACGGCTCAACGACGCTGTCCTCTTTGCAGACCCTTTATCAGGCCCGCTTGGGAGATGCTGAGCCGCTGGGAGCGGTTGGAGCCTGCACGACACCGCCCCCCTCTTCCTGAACCGATCTTCGAAGCAATGCTGAGCTTGGCGATAGCATGGGGATGGAGGCGATGGGCGGCTTGCACGCTTATTTGTTTTGCAGGTTGCATTGGAGAAGTTTTACGCGCGAAGCGCTCGGACCTCTTGCTTCCGTGCGATCTCCTGCGTGATGACCATCGATGTTTTCTGCAGATACGAGAGCCTAAGACACGAGGGCGAGGAGCGAGAGTACAGCACGTCACACTTGAACTGAGCTCCGCGACCGAGCGCTTCATCCATGGCGTCCTCTCCACACTCCCGAGAAACTCTGGATTGTATCATGGGTCCCCTGGCGTCTATCGACGGCGGTGGGATCGCCTTCTGGATACCTTGGGCATCGCCCGGACTCTGCGCCTGACCCCTGGGTCGTTGCGAGGTGGCGGCGCTGTCGCTGCCTATCAAGCAGGAGTGAGCATTGAAAGTTTGCAATGGAGAATGAGGCTGCAACATCAAGCCACGCTTGCCTTTTATCTTCAGGAGGTTGCGGCAGGGTCAGTCCTGCCCTCTTTGCCGAAGCACGCCAAGGAGGCCATTCAAGCGGCACGATCCGTTTTACCGTTCTTTATCGACTCCAGCCCAGCGCTTAGTAGCACCGCCCTCCGGGCTTAAACTCTTGCTGAAGGCCGGGCGTTGTGGTGGAATGCCGTAGCTCGCCTGAATCCGGCGGCTCGGGAATCCACCCTTCGTCTTGAAGCGGAGCTGAAAAGACCTGAAGCACGTGAGGTATCAACATGAGATAGCATGTTTATGCCGAACTTGTGCAGCTTTGTGGCCCTCCCGCCACTCCCGGAATGCCGTAGCTCGCCTGAATCCGGCGGCTCGGGAATCCACCCTTCGTCTTGAAGCGGAGCTGAAAAGACCTGAAGCACGTGAGGTATCAACATGAAGCGTTCAAACCTGCATGCACTTTCGTGCACAGCTCCAGAATGTGCTGAAAACCCAAGTAGTAGTAGTAGTAGTAGTAGTAGTAGTAGTAGTAGTAGTAGTAGTAGTAGTAGTAGTAGTAGTGGTAGTGGTAGTGGTAGTGGTAGTGGTAGTGGTAGTGGTAGTGGTAGTGGTAGTGGTAGTGGTAGTAGCAGCAGCAGCAGTAGTAGTAGTCATCGTCGTTGTCGTGGTCGTGGTCGTAGTCATTTTCGTAGTAGCAGTAGCAGTAGCGGCAGCAGTAGCAGCTGCAGTAGCAGCTGCAGTAGCAGCTGCAGTAGCAGTGGCAGTAGCAGTAGTAGCAGTAGTAGGGGTTGATGTTGTTGTAGTAGTGGTAGTCGTCGTAGTCGTAGAAGCAGTAGCAGTAGTGGAACCAGCAGCAGCAATAGAAGTAGCTGTGGCTGCAGCAGAGTATGCTTACTGTGACCCTGCTGACGTGGCTATTTACATGCCTCAAGCCCAGGCAAATGTTGCGTGCGTCATCTTATTAATGTACAAGCTGTGCACCTCGACCGCCATGGTATGTGAGTGTACATTTATTCATTTGTTTATTTATGTACATACCCGCCCACTACACCCAACCTTTGGTTCTTCCTTCAATCGTCAATCCGAGTTTTGCACGAATGCATTGTTCGGGGCATGTTTTTTTCGATACTATAAACTTGCTTTTTTGCAATGGGTATATCTTTTGCAAATGAGTTTAAATTTACCCATTATTCAAAAACTGGTGCGCTTCTGTTCCCGTGCATCTTACTTTTCTGTTGTCTTCCTATATGCATTTTACAAAATAGCCAACATGTATTCTTGCACCAGAAGTTTTTCTCCAAAACATATGTCCAGATAGCTGGGTTCTTTGAAAATACGGAAGGTACATGCAAGATGACCCAAGTAAGACATCAGACAACCCAACTTAGCAAATCCCGTCTTTTCTAGCGGCCTACTTAATCTGTGCTCAACAACTGAGCGTTGTCCGCTGGCGGATGGCTTCGCTGCCGGCCAGGCACCAGCCCAGATGCCACAGGCACTGGGAGAAGCCGGTCAAGGCTCTTGCGATTGGGAGCCTCAATGTCAATTCCTTCGGATAGCCCCAAACACATCCTTCGTACGGTTCGAGTACGCTTTTGCGTACCTGTGAGACAGGAGATTCGGAAGGTAGAAGGTGGCAAGCGTGGCATGTTTTAGTCTAATGATCACATTCAGTTTTAACCTGCTGCAAGGGCCAACAGGAGTAAGTCGGGAAACGAACAATATGTGGCAGTCACAGTTCGAGCGGTTTGGCAACTCGGACCTGGACTGCAAAGCTCATAGAGTCGATCTGAATTTCCCAAGTGACAGTTTCCCAAACCGGCCGGCAACTGGGACACTGGATTCACAACAGTCTTCTTCCAAGCCCTCTTCTACTAGTCCACTCATGTTCTTCTAATCCTTGTGCCGGATGCATGCAAGAGGCCAGCCGAGCCTGCCGGGACTCACAGGAGACCATCGCGAGGCGAACAGGGAAGACCCCAGCAAAGTCAGTCAATAGCTGGACACGAGGGGTCCTCGAGAGCAAGAGGAAGTACGTTTATTTTTGCTTGTTTTTGTTGAAAGATGTACAGTAGCAAGCTGTCCAAGCTGCTTCCAATTTTTTCTGGTGGACCCCGATGGCGTGGCCCAACCAACAGCTTTGCTCGAGTTTCCAACCTTCAGGGCCTCCTGGCTTAGTTTTGAAGCCCTGCCAGCCAGGCATCCCCGGCGCCGCAAACTCTGGGGTCGACTGAGGCAAGCAATTGACGCTTTCTTCAGGCTCTAAGTTTCAGAGAGTGAAAATGGTTCAGTCGTGACCAGGGGCCCGAAGACCGCGAAATGGATCGCAACAAGAAGGTCAAGTGAGACATCTTGTAACAATCAATGATCAGCTTCGTTTTGTTCCAGTACTCTCATGGGTGCGATCAGCAGCAAAAGGCACGTCCACAATATTCTGTGTCCTATCGTCGCTGGCCCTTTACCAGTGTTCAAAGGAAAATCGAAGCTTTTGGTTGCGACATCATTCCGGATGGCACGCCTTCAGCGCCTCGTGCTGCTTTCGATGCGGAGTGGAGTGCCACCTATATCAGAGTGATTCCCAGTGTGAGGGATGAGTGACATGTGGTTGCCGCATGAGTTCCCTTGCACGGAATGACGCCACATATGACAGGGGAACCACTAAGATTGCGCCATAACACCTTGGCGATGGAAGTGGGCAAGTAGCCTTCATGCCTACGTCATGGATCCATTTCGGGTATGCAAAAATGCTGCTCGGGCCCCTTTATGCAAGTCAGTCTTCGCCATCCGTTCTCGAGGTGGATTGAAGATATAGTGAATGCAGATTTCATTTAAAGGACGGTGACTGTCAAGGCTTTCGCGTCGAAGCCCTGCACAGGAGCAGCTTCTAGCAGCTTCTCCACAGGCCACGCAGGACCACTGCTTCGACGCAAGACTCCGCATGCCTTTACTGGTTCAGAATCCTTTGACCTGCAAGGCGCATGAGGTTTTTCCGCGGAGGCAGAACTGTCTCCTCAACAACATCGGGAGTTTTTCAGGAGCCATCGTCTGCGGGCTTCGCTGGGCTCAGACCCCAGAAATCCCCAGGCATCGGGAATTTCTCATGGGTTTTGGTTCTTGCATCATTGATGCCCTTTAGCTTCTTGCGACGTAGTGGTAGCTGTGTCGGCTGCAACAGCGACACTTGCCGCAGAGCATGTGGTATTTGTGTGAGGTAGTCTTCGGACAGGCTGCGACTTGAACACCTTGCCGGGGTTTTGATACAGGCATCGTGCTTGCAACGCTTACACAGTTAAACTCCGATTATTCCATTGCCAATACGTCAACAAGTCTTCATGTAAGTGGCTAGGCCGCCAAACCCGGAGCCTAGTGGGGTTGCGGTGCAGTCGGTGCATGCACCACTTACAAAAGGAAGCCAGGCGAAGAATGTTCGAGGTGTATTTGGGTGTCGTCGTCATCTTCGATTGGGATCATCATGTCCCTTGCTGGTGATTCGTTCGTGGACACGTGACGCCGAGGTTGAAAAAGGGCTTTCTGAACAAGCCCGATGATACCGATGCCCAGGACAGATGCTAGAATCGTGATTCTATATATATATATATACATAGAAGGCTCCGCGCTGGATACACGCTCCCCTGTGCGCACCCCGTCACGGGAGTATCGAGTCTTTGCTTCAACGATGCCCTGAAGGCCCAACAACCATCAGGTGTTGCTCATCTTGGCTTCAGACTTTTTGAAAGTTGCCAAACAACGCTCCAAGTAATTTCATTCTACGGCACCTCCAGCTGTCATTTAAGGCCGAAGCAAGAAAAACAACCACCAATCCCGTCTCCCTTTTGTCCCATGGCAAGAGTATACGATACCACTGCCGCAACAAGGCTTTTGTCCTGGCGGTTTGCAGATACTCATGTGCTTGGAAGGTCTTGGTGTATTATTCATGCACAGCCACGACTATCACAGAAAGATCAAGAAGCCAGTCGACCTTGAAATGCTGCGAACGAATGATTGCGCACACGAAAGCTTTCAATGTGCGTTGAACCTGTGGACCAGGCCGTCGACGAGATGATCCAGGACGGGCCTTTGTGTTCTGGCTTCACTGGCAGGTCAGAAACTCGCGGGGGAATACAGTTGGAGGAGCCTCCATTGGGTGTCCGCTGCATATGCATACCGGGCTGGTGGAAACACAACTGGCCATTTCTTCCGGCGAACGGCACCTTAAAAGGGAACTGGAAATCCAGTTGGGGGAGACCGGGAACTGCGCCGCATAACGGACGAATTCGATGCTACCAGGACTGTTCACTCCAGACCAGTACCGTTCTCCAGTCCTCCACATAAAGATCGAGATTCGGATCCTACGTATGCCCAAAGCAAACGGAGCAGGCGGAAGTATTAACTAGAGCGCACATATCGGAAGATTGTTGTGGAGAGCTGGGCTTGTCTTTCGAGACCTTGACGATCCCTCCATGGATCGGGATCCTGCAGGAGGCAGTCAAAACCTCTCCGGCCAGCAAGTCGGCAGCGCAACTCGACTCTTCTTGGTCAGACCGGTGGAGGTTCGCGAGGTTTCGATTGCATGCCTTTCTGTCGGTAGAGTTCAGGCACGCTACCAAGCAGTTGGGTTCCGTTGGGTCCTGGTCTGACTCTTACTTCAGGAAATAACATGGCCAGCTTCAGTCTACACATCTGCTACACACTCAAGTCAAGTCATACCTCGAATCCCTCTTCAGCTTCGCACGCGCTGGCTCAGGTACAGCTATGCAGTGGCGGGCCGGGAACATGCAAAGGAGGACCTACAATTCCAGGGTCAGGTCGGGTTGTCGTGTGCTGGACAGGGTGTGGCCTTAGGCGCGAGGGTTGCAGCCTTTGGGGGAGGGACTTCGGATCAGATCTCAGGAGCAGGTTAACGATTCACCTATCAAGTGCCGTCAAGTGCATGCCTGGCCGACTTTTTAAACAGCCGCTCCTCTCTTACATGCCCCCGGCTCTAGAGACGTGTTGAGGGGTTAGGCGTCTGCGTGCTAGGCCGTTGAATGCCAAGGCGTGCTGGCTGGAGTCTGGTAGGTAGTGCAACAAGCAGCAAGACTTGTGCCGAAGCCGTCATTGTGTCGTGGCTTCGCTTGCCCGAGCTTCTGAGTTCTATCTACATTCAGCCACCAGACAAATGTCAGATGGCACGTCAAGAAAGAGAGAGAGAGAGAGGAATTCCCGGACCGTCATAGGCAGAACTGTTCGTAGAGTATAGCCAAAAGAACCTGGGGGATCACACAAACACAGTGTATACTGAACTTATTGACCTTGCTGTATTGAACTTGCTGCTGAATAATGATGTCCCTGGGGGAAGCCAACTACGAAACAGTTTCACACTCCTCCAAAGTCCCCACAAAATATGGGGGGCCCTAGTGGCCGAGGGGTCTTAACAGCCCCTCATGCCCGGCGGAAGAAGAGGTGGCCGAGGGGTCTTAACAGCCCCTCATGCCCGGCGGAAGAAGAGGAGAGAGAGAGAGAGAGGGCTACCCACTCTTGTCTGCGTGCAAGCAAGAGAGAGAGAGAGGGAAAGCAAATCTCACAGGCAGAGGTCGCTTGAACCATCCCCATGCTGCGGGACTAAGCTTGAAGTCCTACGGTTTAGGTGATGCTCCTGTGGCCAGGAGCTGGGCGCGTGCTGGCCTCGAACACCCACTATGTCAAGGGATAGCATAGGGGATTTTTGCAGAGCTTTGTACGAAAATTCCCGCTTGAAGCCCCTCTGTTTTTCGAATTCGAGACGTATGGAGTTCTTGTAGCGGTATACCTGTACTTCGCACCCATTTTGCCATGCCTCCCGATTGCCCAAGTAGGTGCACAACAATTCGATGGTGCTTACTTAGATGGGCTTCGACGACGTTGACCACGGTATGAGGGGATCTGTGGTTGTATCCGTTTCTGTCTTTGGCTTTATTTATGTATCCTCTCGGCGATTCGCCTGCGGCCTCGGATTGAAGAGCACCAGTTTAGCCATTGACTTTTCGATCCGTCAACATCAGGTGCATGCTTTGCTTGGAGCCGTTGCCCAACGATCCGCGCGAGGTCACCCACCGCATTGCCGAGCTTCCAAACAAAGATATGGACAAGTTCCGGCTCGTCATGATCACAGTCATGTTATCATGAGTTTCCATTGCCTGTGACAACAAACCCCAGAAAGTCTATAACACCCGGAAAGGCATGTTCCTTGCGGCAACCCGTTGAAATGTGATCACGGAGATATTCCTGCCACGTGGCTCTACAGTCCCCCTGCGACAGGTCATCAACTTGTGTGCAAGCGAGTCCGAAGCTCGGCTCTGTGGCACTGAGGGTGCATGCAAGTCGAGGAACGTGTGGGGACAGTATCTCAGGTTCTGTGTAGCACAGCATCGTGAGCTCAAGGATGGGAGACGTTGTGCCGGGCTTCGTCCTGAACTCTCAAACCTTCCCATCCCTACCCTAAAATCCCTAAAGCGCCGAATACACTGCTCACAGCAGCACACCGAGGCCGAGGTGTCTC